TTACCCTGAAATCTTCCCAGCATTCTTTGTTGGTTTCTCGTTAACTCTTAATTTTTCAAAATTTCCATTTGTTCTTTTTGCATAATGCTAATGCTTTTGTGTCATAGCATATTCTCATGCTAAAATGTCTAGTTTGGATGCATTTTACATGTTTTTGATATTCTCCCCATGATGATATTTTGTGTTCAGGTTTACCAGTTTAGCCTGTGGCCAGGCATGTTGTCAAATGGTGAATATCAACCATGAAGCAGTTTCTGAATAGAATGGCAAAGTTGTTTGAGGTCATTTAAGTCCTAGTCCTCAGAACTGGGTGACTCTTGTCTTATCCATTGCTTCATCACTGTATAACGTAATGGATCAGAAAATATTTAGCCATTTGTACATTACAAAATAAAGCAGTCCATTTAAAATAATGGAGTTGTTTCATAGTTGATGCCAATGCATTGTACACAGATGAATATTTGTAAATTAGTGTAACCTAATTAGGCTGATTCAAGAACCCCTTATGGCACTCCTTATCATCTTTTTGTTTCAATCTGTACTCCCCCTGTTAGTTGCCTCTCCACCTTTCCTTCCCTCCCTCCTTCTTTTGCTCTCTCTCTTTACACCTTTTCATATTCATGCACTTATTTTGATCCTAACCCTGGAGATAATCTCCACTATAGTATAAAAAATGCAAACCCTGCAGACAAATTATGCCATTAACCAAACTGACTGAATAAACATTTTAAGTAGCTGTTTGTTTTATTGTATGGTAAGTACCTAACATCTAATAGGTAAATATGTATTACTTATGTAATTTTCAAGTACATATATTGCAAGTATGTAGTAACTTGTATACAAATTGCCAGGTATGTACAGCAGCACTTAGTGCTGAAATGCAGTAATTAGTTATGTAGTCTTTACAAGTAAAACTTGGTGTGTACTTAATAATTTTTAGTAGCTAATGTGAGAAATGCCACGAACATTTTGTCATTCAATACTAAAAAATTGCATAATAGTGGCAAATACTACCAAATTGCTTGAGTAAATGCATCACTGAGAGAAGAGTATCTAAGTACAGGTGACAAAGGTGCAAAAGAAGTATCTTTTTTCCAGTATGGTTATTGGTACATCCTCACAAAGCAAACGTTTCCGTTTTTTTAAAATAATTTGTTCAGAGGTATCACAGTGTGTTAAAACAACGTGTGAAAAATGTGCTTCTGAAGTTAGATCTTACACCAAAATTACCTTCTATAGGCAGGCATGTTTTGACAGGTGCTAGGGAGGTGCTAGGGAGGTAAAAATCATTCACCCCCCCCAAGAAAATGTTGCATTTGCCTCCATGAAATGACATAGTTTTGTTTAAATTTTCACTAGTCCATCATGGTATAAGACCAAAATCTATCACTCGCTCATATTCTTGATAAAACATATTATCACACTTATTGCGTGGCATTAAAATTAAGATGTTTAATGTCTGTTTGTATTGCAGTTAGAGTAAAAACAATAAACTTCACTCTGTCTCTAAGCCTACTTCTTACTACTTCTAAACCTAATTATGCATCAATTCAAATTCAACCAAAACAGCTCGCATATGTCTGGCCCAAGCTATTAAAAAAGATTCTGTGGTCTATGTGACAAAAAGTTTCCTTATTGCTTGTCTGTTGTTTTTAGAAGAAGCTTGTGCTGCAAGAATGATACGAGCCTCTGTAAAGAGTCAAATGCCAAATGTTAAACAGGCCAATTATGTAGACAGTGCAGCGCTGACATGCTCTGAGAGTATCTTGTTGAATTGTCTCGTCTGATGTGGACCATTGTAAAAAAAAACGGTCCCAGAATCTAACTGAACCACAAAGCCATGAATTTTTGTAGTAGTCTGCACCAAATGAGGAAATTCAACATCAGAGCATGTTTCACATATTGCCATCACAACAACCATAGGTATAGCACCCCCTTCAAATGTTTCAGCATCCCTGCAAAACAAATCCTAGCATTGCCTTTCCGGTAGGCTTCCATGTGGCACAGATCTCCATCCAGTGACGGCTTCAAAATGATCTTGGCTTTATTGGATGGCATAATCATATATTATAGCCAAGTGTTATACACAAATGAGGCTACAATAGAGCTCTGTGATGGAGAAGGTCATGAATTTTCAGTTTTCTTGCTAATGAATGCTACCAAAGACTGGGTTTCCTGGAACGTCTGACTTAGCTATAGGGGACTTTCCAGCAGGATATTGTTCACAGACAAACTTCGGAAGTCCATTCTCATACTTCTAGAACTCTTCAATAGCTTAGGTTTTAAAGTTTGAAGGTTTCTGGAAAGTTTCTCCTGATACCCCAGGGGCCGTAATGATAGCAGTGATAATTTATAGAAAAGCGCCATTTATCCTAAATGTCCTAAATTATCCAGAACATTTCCATCTGGAACATTCTTCAGCTGCTATAATCTTGTCAATTATTATCAATTGCACTGTAAAGTTTTCTTTAAATAGACACCATAAACTGCAAATGATAAGTGTGGAAAAAGTCAGAAGTGCAGACTCTCATTGATACATAATGTAAAGAGAATGTAAATGTACTTCCTTATGTAATTAATCTGTGAATCTCTAAGGGTTGGTTTCCCAGACAGGGATTTTGCCTACTCCTGGGCTAAGTTGTCCTTTAATGGAGAGTCTACATTTAGAATGCTGTGTAGTCTAAGATTAGGCTGTCCCAGAAACCAGTCCAAAGAGTCTGTATGTAGACTCACACTTCAGTACCTCACTCTCATAACTTCATAGCCTACTAATTTACTAAATAATTCACAGAAGTTACTGAATAATACGTTTTAAGGTTAATAACCATATAGCAAGGGGATAGCTAATTAATTAATCATTTATTACATAAAATAACAATGCAATGTCTCAAATGTATAGTAAAAACAACAGTAACTCTAGACTTATAAGGATTGACTAAATAAATGTATTTAATCATGCATATTTCCCCACGGAATACTACTTTTTTATTATTCTGGCTGATGTGTGCTGCATTTTTAATTAGATCTTAACCGCTGCATTTTAAAATTCTGTGGGTGTAGCTGTGAAATCCTCTGATTGTAATCTTGCTTCATGCCAAACTGTGAGGGAAAGGGATAGAAAAATAGAGGACGCTGAATAGATAAAGAGTTTAGCGAGATAGCTGGAAGCTCCAATTTCAAAACCAAGTATTAAGACATGCTTTTCCTTCAAGCACTGTGTGCTTGTGAGAGTGTGGGTGAGAGAGAAGGCAGAGAAATAGATAAGGTTAAGACAGGCAGATGCATTCTGTACAGTTGGGTCTGTGTGAGCTTATATGTGTGTATAGCAGGGGGTTGGCTGCTAAGGGGATCCCTTGCTCTGCCTTTAATCCATCCCATCCCCCATGCTGACATCCCACCAATCACAAGTCAGCCCCTTAAAGTGATAGTGGGCAAAAATCTTATTTACACAATTTGCCATAAAGGAGCATTTGAGACCACATATGCATATGGAACACATGGCGTTTATGGAAAGCTTAGCTTGTCTAGTTTGACATGCTTTGTTAATATCTTAAACAGTTCTGAAGTTATTTGAGTTTAAACATGTGCCGTGAAAATCTCGGTAGTGAAACGTTTGGTCTTGAAGTTTCTATATCATTGTAGGTGTTTTTCCTAGAAATATTTCATTATGTGGAGGTTATGTAACCTTAAACTTAAAATGTTCTTCACACTTACACATTTCATTTACAAATATATCTCTAAAGAACCATCCATTCAAAGGTTCCTTAAGGAGCCAACTTTGTTTCTTTAATGGCAAAATAGAAATGTAATAGAAAGTTAGAAGTGTAATAGAAATTACTTAACAGCTCAGTGCAGTGCAGTTTTCCTTGATCAATTAGCCAAGAAACATTTGTTTGTCTCCTTTAATTTTGCACTCAAGCTCTACAGGGCTAATATAGCTAAGTAACGGATGCTTATGTGCACCAGTTAACCACTATGCAAACTGCATTGATGTTTATAGATGACATTATATCATATGTCAGAAACCAGACAAGAAAGTCTACATTCTAAAAAAGAAAGGTGCCACAAAGAGTTCTTTAAAGAAATGCCATAGAAAGGGTACTTTTGATTCCTTGAGGAAACATATTTGAAAAAAGATTTGTATATAGATTAGGATGGATTAGTATAGAATAGATTTGTGTATAAATTAGTATAGATTAGTATACATTAGTACCTTATTACTAGCCTTTTTTACTTGTCATTTTATTAAGTAAAATCATCTCAGTATATTGGCAGATCATTTTGCTTGCTTTAAGAAATGTGCTTGAAACCAGCAAAATTCTCTGCCAGTGTAGTGAGATATTTTTACTTAATAAAATTACTTAAAACAAGTGAACAATGTCTAGGAATTTTTACATTTTTTTAAAAGTGGCACTGAAATTTCCTAGTCGCGTTTGTATATGCAATGACTGTGTCTGCAGTCAAGTTTTCCAAATGAAATCACAGCAGTATAGGAGTATCCTTGCTTTACTTGAATGACTACCAAGAACAAAACAAATAAACAACTCAGCAGATGTAGTGTAGATCTGATTTCAGAGGGATATACTGCACACATTAAGATATTGTGGTTAAGCTCAGCTTTTCTAGTAGTAAGTATGTATGCTTTAGGCATGCGGTATGCACAGTGCTAATTGGTAGAGTAACTTGTTAGTTACAGCAACCTTGTAGCTTTGCTGCAAAACTAAAGAAGCAGATTTCAAACACTAAACAAGTATCAGCTGCTTGACCACATCTGGAGAAATTGTGTACATTTGATTTTTCACTTTAGTTTAATTGTTCATCCCCTCTTCACCTGCACTGTCCCGCTGGCTATAAGGGCATCAGCCCCTCTGTCTTTTCCATTACAACCACATACCTCCCTCCCATCTCTGACCCAATTTTAGGCAGTGAGGGGTAAGAGGGGTCTATTGTGTGTGCCATAGAGAGGAGGAGAGGAAACGAGGGGATAGGCAAAACCCCCCACACGCCCCACTGCACTCACACACAGACCTGCAGTCCCACATGGTTGTCAGATCGTGTGTATAAATGTCATTGTCCGGTTGCTTGTTGGCTTTAAGGTCAGTGCATGCTCTCCGAGGTTGTTTTAAAAGGAAAAAAAGAAAGAATGAGAGTGCAGAGAGATGAAAGGAGGAGAAAGTGAATGGAGAGGCAGACACAAAAGAGGAGAGGCAGACGGGACGCCTGAATGTGTGTGAGTACGCTGCTTGGTGTGTGTGTATGCGTTGTGGCAGGGTGTGTGTGTGTGTGAATATATGTGTGTACATGTGTGTTCAGTTTAAAGTATCTTTTTTTGTAAAGACTTTCTTTGTTCATGCTTGAAAAAGTGCCGTGTTTGATCTCAAATATTATTCTTACAGTGATTTTATCTAAACTGTGTCCATTCAGACTATATACAGTTGAGTCAAGGAGAAGTCCCATACATAAACAAACACAAAGCACATACTATATGTTCCCTCTTCCTTTTTCTCTTTCTCTTTCTTAGCGCTGCACGATTGCCCCTAAATGGTCAGGAATTCTATTTTTAGTCCATTCTGCTAAACACAACAAGCTCTTTCCATTCTTTTCCACTCTTTCTAGCACTATGATTTCCTCCTAATGACAAAATGCAAAGAGTAGTTTCTTTAATAACAAGCACTATTGTTTTGTTTTGCTATGTCTTATTTACAGATGTACAATATTACCCGGTTTGTCTTTTATTGTCTTTAAGAAGAGAAAGTAAGATATCTTTAATGTCTCTAAAATATTTGAATAGATTGTTTACAGGACCCATATCTTACATGTTTTTTACTATTTTACCTTCCTGAAATCCACGTATTATGTTTTGTGTGGTACTAAACACAGTAATTCATTTTTGTATGGCCATTTACAGACTTGAACTGTTTCACGGTGGTCACTATAAAGTGACCTTGGGTCCAAATGCCTATCATACAAATATAGCCATTTTATTTACTAACTAAAATGACCAGTAAACCTACACACATCTTGTGTGTTTTTATATGTAATGTTGATAATGGCAAAATACTGGTAAATCTGAAAAAATATGTTTTCTTCAGGGACTAGTTTGCCTTACAACATCATCTCCACCAGGAATATATGTAAAAAATAGTTTTAGGCCAAAACCTTCTCAGAACTATCGTAAAAAAAACATCTCAGCGTATTCATAACCATTTAGTTTAGCAGCTTTTGGTGAGGGACCTTCTAGAGGCATTCAACTCTTCATACATCTATTTTCTGTCACCACCACTGTGAACAATTATGACTGAAAAATTTACTCTTAAATGAAACATTTCATATCAGACCGCTCTGAATGAATATAATTATACACAGTTTTTATTAAAAAATGGAGGAATTCTCCTTAAAAGGCTACAGAAGAACCCAGAAATACTGCCTATTGTTCATTAGCACACACTGATATGACTTATGGCAGACATTAGTAGCCCTCAGTGTCTTACCTTAGACACACCGAGGTCCATAAAATGATATACTTAGCACCAGGTTTCAGGTGCAAATAGGACACATTCCACCCAAAAACATGCAGTTTATGCAACATGTACATGGAAAAATGCAAATTGTGGTTATCTCCCTCATACCTGCACAAAATGCGGAGGATTATGCAAAAAATATGTGGAGATATTGCAAATGTAGTTGATTGCACATTCTGTTTGCTATACATTCCTTTTTTTGCATAAATTGTCTTTTAAAAAAACAGTTGTGAATTAATGGAAGTATCTTGTGTGTTAAAGATAGTTAAATAGAGGCTCAGGCCTCAAACATGTACTGAAAGGATATCTACCATCAGACTTTAACAGAATAATGGTATTTAACTCTCAGAACTCTTCTACATTTTGTGTTTAGTGACTTGTATGGCATTGTTTTCCTGTTGTCACAAATTCTGAATTTTCAGTAGAATTACACCCCTATAGAATGTTTTGCTGTGAAACAGGTGGCACTTTCTCTCTTGCTGATGGCTCCACTATTGCCCTGTAGCTTTTTAATCCTGCAGCTCGTAAGCATAGAGCAGTTACCAATCAGTTCTGTGTGCAGTTTGCGTGATTAGCTTCAGCCTTATTAAACTGAACATTAATTTCAGATGCATCGCAATTGCATACTGCAGCTGCATCAAGGCACATTTTGCACTGCACCTTCTCATGTATGTATACTTTGAGAAACCTCTGATTTAGCAAAGTAGCTAATTAAATAGCTAGAACACTTGGCAATGGTATGATTGGGCCCAGCGGGCCAAGGCCCACCCACTTTTATCATTAGCCCATCCAGAGTGACTGCTCAGATTTACTTTAAATATTAATATCTCTAAAATCACTTGTAGGCACAAAAAGGTGCTGAGCAGCAATAAATGCAATAATTCTGAACAGTTATCTTCTGAACATGGCACAGTTATCAATCAGCTCATTAACACCAAAGGCAGGGGTGCAAATTTGGTCTGACAAGTGGAGAAGAGCAACATCAGGAGGCTACACCTTTTATACTGCAATTCGTGTCTAACACTGGGTAAACAATTACACATATCATATTGATATCTCCTGCTTTACATGTCATTGTTAAAACACAAAAACAACTAATATTGTGGCGTGTCCAAGAAATGTTTACATGTTAATTTTAGGTTGTCATTCTTCAAGTATTTATTCACTGGGTTTATTTTGCAAGGGACTCTTATTGTTGAGGGTGTGGCTAGGAGCCGCCCTAGAGTGTGCATGAGCAGCGAGACAAGAGACATGAGCTGCGTAGCAAATGAGCTGTCAGAGAAAGAACACTCTGCTAATGTACAGCGTAACTGCGGCCAACAACAGCTGGAAAATAAAGCACCATGACTCGAGTGAAAGCTGTCTCTTTTAACAGCAGTGAATGCTACAATATTATTGACAGAAAATATAAAATACATAGTCAGTATAGAGATTAATTGTGTTGCTTATTATAATGGCATTTTTCCCATTGTGTTTCTAAAATTCTTAGTCTGATGTGCATCTTGTTATAAATACCCCAATAATAATAGTTCTTCAATGATCAGGACCCCCACAGTACCACCAAAGAGCAGGGATTATTTTAGTTGCAGATCATTCGCAGCACTGCAGGGACACTGACGAGTAGATCAGACACAGCAGTGCTACTGGAGTTTTTAAACACCTCTGTGTCACTGCTGGACTGAGAATAGTCCACCAACCAAACACATACAGCCAACAGCGTCCTGAGTGCAGCATCCTGTGACCCCTGATGAAGGACTAGAGGACGACCAACACAAACTGTGCAGCAACAGATGACCTGCGGTATCTGACTTTACATCTACAAGGTGGACCAAGAAGGAATGTCTAATAGAGTGGACAGTGCGTGGACACAGTGTTTAAAAACTCCAGCAACACTATTGTTTTTAAACATATGAGCTACAGTCTGTAATTGTAGAACTACAAAGTATAGCTATGTTGTAAATGGACCTGATAAAAATGAACAGTGAGTGTAGATACAAGGTGTGCTTAATGAAGTGGCCAGTCATTGTATATAATAATTGATATCTGATGGCACTTTTGCAACATACATAAGTGGAGTGGACATGTACCCCTCGTCCCCTCCTGCATTTGCCCCTCGGCATAAATGATAGAAATTGTGAACATGTTAAAGTTATCATGGTCTCTTGCTTCTTCATGCCAATAAGGAGATGCGAGTTCGGTAAATGTGTCAGTTATGGTTTATACAAAATTTTTTGTAGCTATCTCCCCCTCTGTCCATGGGAGAGAAAGACCTGCGGATTTGTCCTGCTCATCCAAATGGAGCTGCTCCTAGCGTAAATGCTGTTAATTGGCTGGTTAAAGTGCTGCTGGCAGAAGCAAGCTGGTTACACAAAATTGCAAGTGACTTTCTTATACCAATACTAAATACCAGACTTTGTCTGGGTGGTAATTTTGTGGTTCATTGTATTTACCTTTCAAAAAGTAGCACACCTTCAGTTCAGTGGAATCTCATTGAGGTGTAATGGAGGATTGGAGAAGAGCTGAAAGAAAAGGACTGGGAGAGGGAGAGGGAGATGGAGACGGGGACAGCGAGAGAGGGAGATGAAGACAGCAGATGAAAGCAGGTTGGCACTGATGTGGGCACAAGGACATTCTGCTGAGCATGTGCCCTGTCTGCCATTCTCCACTGCCCAGGGGGAGGGCACGAGTGATGAGATAACTGTCTGTGTGTGTGTGCTCTGCAGAGACAGAGCAAATCCAAGCTGTAATCACTAAATAGCATCAGCAATTTCTTTTTAATTCACAGTATTGGATAGAGATTGCATTCCACTGCTTCAAAAACTAGTTGAGTTGAGATTGTAAAATTTAGCAAAATCCAAAATGTGCAGCTTTAGAGGTTTAACTATCACAGTGAGGGGCTTTTGAAGGTGAGTCATAAGATATGTGTTTGGCAGAATAGGTTATGTAATCAAAGTTGCATAGTACCCATTAACAAATCTCAGCTCTCCTTAAGGAGTTTGGTGAATAAAGTTTTACACAAATCACTGAAAATTACTGTAACATAGAAGAGTGACCCTAGACTGAGTATATATATTCTGGCACATTAGAGTTAAGTGTATTTTGATAGCTCTTCATTAAAGGGGGGCATTAAAATGCCTTTGTAATGCTCTTATTAAGCCTTATCAAGCCAGTAACTGGTAATTAACTGGCTACTAATTACTGCTTTATAAAGCGATAACTAGTGAATTAAGCATTTTCCAGAGCACATCTAAAGCTCTTATTAAGCCATTTCAGACTGGTAAGTACTAAATGGCTGCTCATTACTGCTTTAATATGCCATAACTAGAGTGAAGAGCATTTTCCAAAGCACCTTTATTTGTGTAATAAACATCATACATTTAAAAAAAAATGTAGGCCCATTATTATGCTCTTATTAATTGCTTCTTTAGTTCAAGTTTTTACTTTATTAAATACTTATGAGCCACTTAATGTGCAGCTACGAGATTTATAAGCCTTAATTGCAGCTTTACAAGAAGTTAATTCACCTGTTTTTGTTTATTGTTTTTGTTATTGTTTAATAAGGTAGTAATAAGCAGCAAGTTAATTACTAGCTATCTGCTTGATAGGGCTTAGTAAGTGTGTTATAATGTCCTCCTATACTAAAGTATATATCATCACTGTCATATAAAAACTATTTTCTTTTTACCATTTTAAAACTCCTAGCCATCCTTAACATTGTGTGAACATTTATGAAGAAGAGTTCAAAAGAAAGATCTTTTTCTGTGAAGTTACCATTATGGCCACATGGTCACATGCAAAAGTTTGAACATCCACACATTAAATTACATGATTTTTTGATTTTCTAAGTAAAATAAGTTTTTTTTTTATTATTGTTTATCGATTGAATTTAACATATTAGGGTAAAAATAAAACATAAAATGTGCCCTGTGCCAAACTTTTAGCACATTTTATATTTTAGTTTTTGTGTGTGTGTGTGTGTGTGTGTATGTGTGTGTGTAGATGGCTAAAACCACCATCTCAACATCCACTGATGCCTTCAGGTATGAGTGTTACTTCAACCTTGAGCGAAAAAGAGGGATAGATAGAAAAGAGAAGGAGGAGTGCACATGTGTGTGTGTGTGTGTGTGTGTGAGTGACTCACTCTTGCTCGGTGGGTCTTTCTTCACCCACAATGCCCCTACTAGCACTCTCAGACACAGATTAGAGGTGAAGGGCTAGCAGGGGCTGCTGGTTAGAAAGAGAAGGGCAGGAGACAACACCATGCCCGAATTGAAGGCTCTCTACTGGGAGAGAAGTTGTAGGAAAGCCCTAGGCCTCTTTTTCTGCCTGTCCGGCCTAACACTGTGAGTACATCTAAAGGGTAATGCTGACTATAAGGCAGGAAGGACATTGAAGATACATAACAATTCTCTCACACTCTTTCTGTCTCTCCCTCTACACACATACACACACACATTATCCCTGCTTGCCTGACGTTTCTCAGACTTGTCCTTACTTGGCCATAACAATCAATACTTTAAATGTTTTATTGGGAGGCCAAATGTAAACATTCATCTTAGAAAAATGAGTGGAGAGAAACCAGAGAATACACACACATGCAGCACAGAGCGCAGACAAGGCCTGCCTTTGTAAGAGCAGTCCAAGAGCTTTAAGATCTACTTGTGTGTGTGTGTGTATCTGTGTGTGTGTGTGTATCTGTGTGTGTGTGTGTGTGTGCGCGTGTGTGTGTGTGTGTGTGTGTGTGTGTGCGTGTGTGCGTGTGTGCACGTGTCCATGCTTTTCATGATAAGTAGTAAAGTTAAGAATGCTTCAAAACAGAGAATATGGATTACATCAGGAAAGCAGATTCACACAAAGGGCAATTCCAGTAATTGTTTTAGTTGTTCATAATTCAATTGTTGAAATGTAATAAAGTCATTCAGAGCAGATGTAAAATGGTTAATTGCAGAGAATCCTACCAGCTGATTGTTTTGTACTTGGTGGTTAAAGGAACCAAGGGTTGTGATGTCTGCAACGCAAATATAACCATTTTATTTATCATATACAAAGGTCAGTGAGCCTGAGTGTCTTCTGACTGTTTATATGCAACGATCATAGTGGTAACATAATGCCAGATCCTGATAAATGTTTCATTCAGAAATACAAAATGGTATGGAAGGAAATGCATTATGATTTCTGATTCATGTTGACTTTAATGTGTAATAGGCTATTATTTCTTGCAAATTTATATTTCTGCATGTTTTGGGGGCTTTTAAATTTGTTAAATATAGTGGCAGGATTTATTTTATTTATTTACTCATTACATATTTACGGGCTATTCATTGGTCAAATTTTCATACTTGCAGTGGACTTCCCCATTCTTTGAGTCACCGTGGGCCTTGTACTCTGAGACCCCCTGAGTCCAGTAGCAGTCAGAAGCCCCTAAACACTGGTCCCCACCTTTATTACAGACTCTAGGATATGCTAGTATAGCTTTAGTCCATTTATAACATTATTCCTTTTGCTTTGGGTCATCATCTTGAGTCACATAATAATTTACCCTAACATTCATAAGCGTGGCTTAAATAATGAAATATTAATGATATGGACTGAAATGATTCCTGGCTAATATTCTACTCTCTGCACATCCTGCCCACTTTATTAGAAACTCCTTTGTTGTAGGTCCACTTTGCTGTTGTACAGTCCTTCAATAATGGTCAGTTTCTAAAATATCTTTATTGTTCCTATTATTGTTATTATTACAACTACAATCACTTCAATTAAAGGTAATAATAAGTAGTAGAAGAAGAAAAATATTGGGGCTTGGACAAGAATGAGGCAAGCCTCTGCACACATGAATTCTCAGTGTTTACTTAACTGCCTCATTCTCAACATATTCCAACCACGTTATCTTATACCTCTACTTAATTAATGACTGGGTTCCCGAAAGTACTGTTAGGAGTCAGTTGCTGTGATGGTGTGAAATGTCTTCAAACTGCAGAAATTATCTCCAAGGCTCCCAATGGCACCTAGCCCAGTCTTGTTGAATCACTTAATGGCACTATCCCAAATCTTGTTAAATAAATGAAGGTTTCTGCTTTTGTAGAAACAAAATGACAAGCAATATCCACAACAGTACCTGATTGTGGCCTGAAATGGTCCAGTAAAAAAATCTAATTTACACTATTTTTCTGTTACCATGGATGTAGGTGATCAGGTAAGACACAAATTTTGCTTCTTTAGTTTAGAACTGGAGCTGTGAAGGTAATGTGTATAACAAACACTAGAGTGCAATACTCACCCAAATAGCCCAAACCATTTCTGTAAAACACATCACCAAAACTTCTCTCAACCCAGAATCTAATCCAAGATCAGTTCTGCTTTGTGAACTCCAGCCTTGGTGTTGTCTGAAATGGTTGCCTGTAGCTGTGACGTTTTGTTACATTTTATAGTTCACAGTAAGTCATACTATGCTCTTAACCACATCAGCAAGTCTGTGCAACTTTAAAGAAGACCTGGATGCAGTTTAAGTGGGTTGAGAGACGTTTTTGCTGCTTTTACAAAAACAGTTGGGGCTGTTTGATCAGTAACATCCAGAGTGAAAAATTGGGTAAAAAAAATTGGGTATTTTTCACCAACCTGCATGAATACCCATTGAACTGTAATACTGTAATTTCGTGATGCCGCCATAATTAGGTCCCAAACCTGTTTTGTGACATTTAATGTAATTAATTCTCTATACTAAACTTCATATTTGTGTTAGATACTCATAGCCAAAATCTTAGTCATTAATGTAAAAATGTTTTCTCTATTTTTTACTCTCCAAACCTCCACTGTAGAGTCTGTGAGCTGTGCCGTCTGGGACACTGTCTGCCCCATTGTCATCGGACGTCATGAGCTGGAGCTTCCTAACGCGTCTGCTGGAGGAGATCCAGAACCACTCCACACCGGTGGGGAAACTCTGGCTCACCACGTTGGTCGTCTTCCGCATCGTGCTGACAGCGGTGGGTGGAGAGTCCATCTACTACGACGAGCAGAGCAAGTTCATCTGCAACTCGGGCCAGCCGGGCTGTGAGAATGTCTGCTACGATGCCTTCGCACCACTCTCGCACGTGCGCTTCTGGGTCTTCCAGATCATCTTGTCCGCCATGCCCTCACTCCTCTACATGGGTTATGCAGCCAACAAGATCTCCCACAGTGAGGACATGCGAGGCACTGGGGGTGGAGCTCCAGCAGGGGTTGGGGCAGGGGGAGGTTATACTCAGCGGAGGCCCAGGAAGATGTACTTCGGGGCGCGGCAGCACCGGCCAGGACACGAGGACGGTGAGGAGGAGCGAGAGGATGATCCCATGATCTACGAGGTACCTGAGATAGACAACACCAGGAGAGAGCTGGTGCCCCCACGGCCAAAGCCCAAGAGGCGCCATGATGGGCGGAGGCGTATTCGTGATGACGGACTGATGCGGGTCTATGTGCTGCAGCTGCTGATTCGTTCCGCCTTGGAAGCGGCTTTTCTGGCAGGGCAGTACCTGCTGTATGGCTTCCGGGTGCAGCCTGTCTTTGTGTGCTCAGACAAGCCTTGCCCACACAGTGTGGACTGCTTCATTTCACGCCCCACAGAGAAAACCATCTTTCTGCGCATCATGTATGGCGTAAGCTGCCTCTGCTTGCTGCTCAATGTGTGGGAGATGATCCACCTTGGAGCCGGGGCCATCAAGGACGCCCTGCGCAAACGCAACACCGCAGCGGCCGAGGATGAATACCAGCTAGGCCTACTAGGACCTGGGGGCGTGTCCGTCGGAGTGGGCGGGCCAGCGCTCAGCGAGGGAGAAACAGCAGATGAAGTTGGGGGCGGAGTCAGGGAGGCAGACTATGTGGGTTATCCTTTCTCATGGAACACGCCTTCCGCGCCGCCAGGCTATAATATCGTGGTAAAGCCAGAAGCCATGCCCTATACAGACTTGAGCAATGCCAAGATGGCATGCAAGCAGAACCGTGCCAACATTGCACAAGAGGAGCAGCAACAATATGGCTCCAACGAGGACAACTTCCCTTCAGCGGGCGACGCCCGGCCACCGCCGATCAACAAGGACGTCATCCAACTGGAGGCAGCAATTCAGGCCTACACTCTTCAACACCATGCCAATAATGATGATGACGGCATGCATGACAACCCCGATAACGACGATAAGCCGCAGAGCAACATCCCACCTGCTCCTCAGAAAGAGCGGAAACACAGGCCTAAACATGGCAAAGCAAGTAGCGCAGGGAGCACTAGCAGCAGTAGCAAGTCTGGAGAGGGAAAACCGTCCGTATGGATCTGACACTTCATGTGTTCACAAACATCCATATGTATTTCCTTATAGCTCTTTGCAAAATCTTGGGCATTGACATATAAACTTTTATGGACACGGATACATTAGGAGTGTGAGAAACACCTTTCGTGCCTTAGAATCTAAGGAGCTCTCGGGAAGCGTGAAAGTATACTTTTGACTAAAATTCCAAAATATCTCTGGTGTTTCCAAACTGATCTCTGTTGTTTTGAAACTGAATTGACCAGGCTGTATTTATCTCAGCCGCAGTCCATAAAACCTTTAAGTAAAAAAAAAAACAAACAATGCAACTTCGGTGATAATGGTTCGAGACATCTTGCTGTGATATCACTTTTAAAGGGTGATGAAGATACATTCCAATTCCAAACCAGCCGTCTTCCTCACTTCAAACAGTGACAATGCCAAATTTTTTACAATGCCACGATTTTATAATGCTGTGACATCACTTTGCAATGGCGGCATTCTGTGCTCATTTTTCCCTTCCATAAATGAGAATTGGTCTTGTTATCCTTGTTAGTCTCCTTCAGATCTTTTAGTTGTGTATGATGGACCAGTGTCTGAGGTGATCTGTCATAGACACCCACAGCAGTGTACAGTGAGTAAAGCATTACCGTTACTCTTTTCTCATACTGCCCTCTCCTGGTTCAGAGTAGCTATTTTAGTCTAACCAGCTGTAGGGATGCGCTAGTCCCAACAGCATGGTATAAAGAGGTTGAGTAGTCTAGTCTGTTTTAGCAGTTTTTAGTATTTCAGTAGATGTATGGAAACTAATGGCATGTGCAGATTTATTTCACTTTCTATACGGATTACAGATGCCTCATGATTTGATCACTCTAGAGCAGACTTGCCCAAATGTTGTCTTGGGAGGCCAAAGTGCAGTATTTGTTTATGGACCGAGGGCAAATAAGTAGGTTGGTAGGTGTAAAAATGTGTTTTATAGCATTACACTGTATGACTGAGCTGTGCAAAAGTCAAAGACCACCCTTCATTTATTTAATTTTCAGTCAAAAACAGCCATTAAATACAGGTTCATTTATAGTTTTATAAAATTTTATATTAAATTTATAAAGTAATTTATAATCAGTCAGTAGAAACATAAAAATCATATTGAAGTTGTCCCCATTACAAATTTGGACTGATCAGTCCACAAAACCTAATTCTACATCTCAGATGTTCATTTCTGGTGTTCTAATGCAAATGTTCTTCTTTTTTGTCAAGTAAGGGCTTCTTGACAGCTACACATCCTTTCAGACCCATAGCATCAAGGCGTCTTCTCACAGTTGAGGGATGGACAGAAACCTCTGTAGATTTTTTCAGATCTGAAACAAGAGAGGAGCATGATTTTCTCTCAGGGATGAAAACTGTAAGCACTGTTTGTCTGATAATGTCAGTTTTGGTGGTCTACCAAGTCTTGCATGTCCCGTTTTTTTCTGTATCTTTACATAAGTTTTGAACAGTTTCGGAAACTTTCTTTATGCAAGTGGATTATTTTAAGTCTGTGACTGGAAAAAAGTGGTCTCCGACTTTTGCACAGTACTGTATGCTACTAAAATATTTAAAAATGCAGTTTTTGAAGGAAAATAAGTTATATAGAGTAGAAAAATATGTTCTTTCAGTGGGGTGGGCGGTGGGGTTTGGGTGATTTTGTATTGGACCAAATTGAACGTCCTTACATGCCACACTTTGGGCTGCTTTGATCAGTGCACAGTTAGTGCTATTTTTAAAAACTTATGCATGCATACATATACACCCAAAATGAGGGACTTCTATAAGAGTCATACATTGTGGGAAAGAAAGTCTTCCATTTTGTCTTTTACAGCCACATTCCAGTTTATCTACTACTTTTTTTTGCCTTTTTTCGGACGTTATGGTGCAACAAGGTGATCGCTGTGGGAGACCAAATACTGTTTGTCGCCATGGAAACATCGTGCTGCTATGCAGTCATGCTGTCCAAGGAGAACAGGCTATAGAACGCCTATGTGTGCGTGTGTGTGTAACTTTGTTTATGGCATGCGAGAGAAGGAGAAAACAAACCCTTTATATTTCAGCAATACTTTTCTCTACTGATGATTGTGGATCTGGGTGAATGGTTAATACAGACCAAGACTTGACAAATTTGTGATTTTCCAACATTTGTGCTGTTTCTTTTTACTATTGGGATTTTTATATATGGAAGTAAATACAAAATTGACCATGTTATTTGGTTAAGATAGATTGTTTTGTAGGCTTTTATGATTTCGTTGCCTTTAAATTGTAACAAAGAACAACAAGCAAGCCTTTTTTGTATGTAGATGTAGATAACCAATGAAAACTACATTTCCCAGTGTTCTTCAGTGGACTGTGCTCCTTCTGTGCTGTTAGAGTGGTTTAATTTAACAATTTTAAAGGGCCCATATCATGGAAAACTGATGTTTCCTTGCTTTTTAAAACAAAATAGTTTACTGTAATATGTAAACATTTTTAAAGCATACTTTTCACTTTCAAGTCCATACAGTCAAAATCTGAAAACTAAGCTGCAAAAAACACCCTATTTTGAATTCATTGTTTTTGTGATGTCACCAAAATCAGTGCATTTACATATATCCACCTATTTAGTGTGCAGCACTTTAGCCTCACCCATTCATGCTGAGGTTATAAGGAAGGTTTCAGTGCAGACTGCTTTTTGAAAAAGGCACAATACCAAACAGGCCAATCAGAACAGAGAGCATTTACATGTTTCTGTAGCAAAAACAGCAGTTTTACAACAGTTTAATTCTGAGGGACAGACTGAGGTTGGAAAACGGTCATGTAAAAATGAACAGTGTTGGGGTAATATGTTACAGTAATGTAAGCACTTTTTCCTGTAACAAAGTAATATGACACATTACAGCTGAATTTATTGTAATCATGTTACAGTTACTGGCTTACTAATATTAACCCCTTAAAATCCGAGGCTTATTACATATTAAGGTTTATTATTCAGTAACTCCAGGGACTTCAGTGCAAACTGGCTGAGCTATTCTTAGGTTCTAGAAGTGTGTAATAAAAGTTTTTTCTCAAAAACGTTATTTAGAGGCATCTGCTGACAGCTTTCTGGGGTTTCAAACAGCGTCAGCTAGTAGTGGACAGTACACCAGTTCATCCAGTATACCAGTTAAAATTCTTAGAGTTTTGTCAGGACCATTATACCACAAATTAGTGCAGATTACGTGATATACAAACATCAGATGGCATTGTGTTCTCCCGGCCTTGTCTGTGCGACAAGCTGTAGACCAGCTAGTAGTGACTGTAATACTTTCCAAATTCCAGCAGTGTCTGACAGTCAGAGGTACAGTTGTCAAAAGTTGCTAAAATCAGCTTTTTATTCAGATCTCCGATTCGACCTTAACCCGTTTTACCAAAAGCTTCATTAGTTTGCACTAAAGTCCCTGTAGTTAATGAATAATAGGCCTTAGTATGTTATAAGCCTGGAATGGTAGTGGGGTAGACTGAAGCACATTTATAGGTGCCAGTGCTGCTGGTGAAACGCAAACATTTGGACCAAAAACTGATGAGTAAAAAGCCAACTTCAGCCTTGCAGAAATGAATATGTGAAACAGTATTAACCCCCCTATACTTTCCTCGGGGGGAAAATATAAAAAGCAAGGAAAATGCTGGATGTGGGCCCTTTAAAGGTTGCGACTATGTTGAGTAGAGATGACCTTTTTTGAATTTGCACTATGGGAAATAAAAGAATGTGAAAAAATACTGGTGGGAAATTTCCAAACTGTTGGAGAAAATCCAGCTGCAGTTGCAGCAAAAGAGATTCTACTGTGTGTTTTTAAGGCTGTGTGTGAGACAGTGGGCTCGGGGGAAGAGAGAGGGGAGTAGGAAAACGTTAGGGTGGGTCATTTTTAGAGCAGCTGTATATACAAGAGCTCCAGGGAGAGGAAGAACAGATTACAGAGCTCTGTGCTCCACATCTGAGTACCAGTGCAAGTGTGTGTGTGTGTGTGTGTGTGTGTGTGTGTGTGCACTTTGAATAAACAGAATAAACTTCCTATAATGACTTTCTAATTTCTCTTTGTGTGTGTGGGTGTGAGTGCATGTGGTACCTGAAGCACTGCTTGGTAAGCACATCTGCCCAGCGGGGTCACAACAAAGTCTGATGGCGCTGTACACTCTCATTACTCCTGGAGTGTACGTTCATGTGCCTGTACGTATACTTGTTATTTTCTCCTCTGGGAACTGCAGTGAGCAGCTCAAAATTACAGTCCATTTAATGTCACTCTTTACTCCTTGTCTTGTTGCCCTTTTTCTATTCATGTTTCTCTTCTGTAAATTACAATATGGATTTAAAAAGTGTGTTACTCTTATAAAAAGGGGAAAAATGCTGTTTTTCCCCCTTTGCTGGAATACCCAGCGATGTACACTTATTTCCATTTTTTGGAAACCCCTTCTTTTAGAATTTCATGGAAATGCATGTTTGAGAGCTATTTTGTTAATAAAAATAAGGAAAATGAATGAATAAACTGTGCAAAAGCTGTATATCAATCGATTCATTACAAGTTCAGTTGCTCCAGCTTAAGGTAAGACACTAAAGGCAGAAATGGTGGTTTTGGTCTGGTCAGTCCTTTTTCAGATTTTGTTAAATTTGATAAAAAATGATAAATTTAATTTACAGCATGTCTTCTCTTAATCTGTAATCATAAAAATGTCAAAACTCAACAATATATAATATACTTATTTTAGCACCCACTCACTTGTGTTTTCCAAAAGTTAGCAGCTTTAATGAAGGCTTAGCCCCACCCACACATCACAACCATGTCATGTATCACTGAAAAGTTTGTTTCCTGTAGAATCTATATAGAGTGCCCACATATCTCTATTTCTTCTGTACTAATGACATTTCTACAAATAATATCTTGTTGCGTGATGTGGTTCTGAGGCCCATTCTTAAAACTGATTTACTCGAAAACAGCTTTTCTCTACTTTCAGAACTAAAAATCTTATACTTTCATTCATAAAATTTGTCATGTTCATTCCTAATCATATTCTGAAGTATTTAAAAATTAATTTCATATTTCAAAATTACCTGAATTTACACTGTTTAATAACAACCTTTAATATAACAGTGCATAGTGGTTTCTTAATTAGACAATAAAACATGGAGATTTCACTG